ATTGGAGCCAGCAGGTGGTATGGTGGTTAAGGTGCTGGACTCCCATATGGCTGACAGCAGTTCAAGTCCTGGACTTGGCGTCTTGCTTTCTCACTTTCCCTCTCTCTGGCTGGTGAGCACACATGCCCTATAGCAAATTTAAAATAATGATGATAAATAAATAATTTTTTTTTAAGTTTATTTATTGAGAGAAAGACAGACACAGCTACCCTCCACAGGGTCCTCCAGGCTCCTAGCCAGGCAGGATCACTGTGGCAGTGTTCAGCTCAGCCCAGGATCCAAACCCAGGACCTGGCTCCAGTGTCTCACACACTGGCACCCTGCTGCCTGTGCCATCGTGGCCGTGGAACTTGTGTTTTGAGCTGCCATTATTTTTCGTTTCCCAAAAATCTTCAGAGAGGGCTGGGAAGGGAGAAGCTGAAATCCAAGTTACACGGGGGAGCTTGTGGCAAATACCAACTGCAAAGACCTCCAGCGCAGAGTGGAAGGAGGCTGCCTGCCAGGAGCCTCTTCTCCTGTAACAGACAAAACCACAGAGGGTACAAGGCGGAAAGGAGAGTGGCCCAACCAGTGGCTGTGGGGTTTACAGAGGGCTCTTCCTGCCACTGCCTAGCTGTGGGTCCCTAGTCTGATCCCCCCAGACTGTGCTCTTCCTTGGCACACCACGCACGCACACGCACACACACACACACACACAATCAAGGGTCCTGGTCCCCACGCCACATCCTGACCCAGCTCAAAATCCCCTTTTGCAGGAAGGCTCTAATAATCACCCCACTTTGATCTTTTTATCATCAACTTCCCTCTGAGTTGTACGAGCCACCTCCAGTCTTTTCTGTGTATTACTGCTTAGTTGAGCCCTGCAGTATTTTCAACCTTTTCCCGATAGGTTCTAAGCATGACAGGAGCATGTTCATGGCAGGGACAGTGTCTTTCATTTCACTTGTTTTTCTATTCATGATACAGCATGTGCACATACATGACCGAGAGATGGGGAGAGAGAGCTGCACTCTCCACACAGCCTGGTCCCCCCAGGATCCTCTTCCTCCCGGATCCTGGGCACCCATGCACGTGCTCAGTGTGTTTTAGGCCCACCAGGCCGAGGATTTTTGTGCTACCAACTGCCACAGAGGCCGGGCCTCTTATTTACTTTATATTTTACTTTTTGAAAAGGCATGAAATAGAACGCTTAGACTTTGGAGGCCACGTAGACTTTGGAGGCCACGTAGACTTTGGAGGCCATGTAGACTTTGGAGGCCATGTAGACTTGGGTCTGGGTCTCGGTTCCAACACTTCACTGTTCTGCCTGGGGTTTCTTAACCTTTCTGAACCAGTTTGATCATCTGTAAAAACAAACAAACAAAAACCTAGTGATGCGTGGGCCAGCAGGTGGGGGGCCAGCAGGTGGGTGGCGGTTAAGGCTCTGGATCCCACAGCTGACCACTGTTCCAGTCCTGCACCTTGTGGCTTGACAAACCCCCGGGCACGTGAATGTGTGCCCAAAATCCCGAGAGGAAAAGGGATTTGGAGTAGCCATTCCCCCCCCCCAGTGACTTCTCACTTTCCCTCTCTCTCTCTCTGTCTCTGGCAAGCGCTCGAGAGACCAATAGCAAATAACACAAAAACGAGTGGTATTTGGTTAGCAGAACGAGGAGTAAAGATTACCATAGTCTGTCTGCCATCCAGGCTTTCCTTAGCTGTCGCCCATGTCGCCCATTCTGGGATACTTCAAGCGTGAAAAGCGTAGTAATTACGCCGGTCACAGGACGCACGGCCACCCCTCCCCTCGGTAACGATAACCTGTGAACGCGGGGTTCGGACCGAGCCTGTGCCCCAGTGCACCAGGTACATTACAGCTCAGTAAAGGTTTGTGGCGTGAGGAAGCCAGCAGAAGCGGTCTCTCCCTTCTCGTACCTCGGCGAGCACAGAAACGACAATTGAAAAGCCCGCCCCCGCCGCGCCTAGATCCCCACGGCCTCCGGGAGCATCCGGCTGCCTCCATTCCCTAAGGTCTGTCCCTCTCCAGCGCAGTTCGCCGCCCCCGATTGCCCTGGAAACGGTGACGCAATCCCGAGGGGCGTGGCCTCTCTCCATCCTCTCCTGGAGCCCTGGGCCCCTCCTTATCCGAACCCTGGTGGGGGAGGCTTGGGCTGGGCGCCAAGCAGCCTAGCCCGCCCCTCGCCTGGCCGGGGCCTCACTGCTCCCACGTGGGGCACCCCCAACCCGCCCCGCTCGGGTGAGCTGGTGAGGCGCCGGCGG